GACTTAAAGGGATTTTAAAAAGGAAAAAAAAAAAAAACCTTGGTAAAGAAAAAGGGGGTAACAGCCCCACAGAGACCCTTCCAGAAGAGGTGGCAGCCTGCAGACAAAGGACCAAAATAGACGTGTCCAGTGGTGAGAGGCCACCCTCCCCCGGGAAAGGCACCAGGCTGTGGGGTATGCCCTGCTCAGGAGTCCCAGGGGGTGCCCTGTGCACCCAGAGCACACACCCCTCAGTCCAGCGAGCCAAGCCAGCAGGGCCTGTGGCTTAGAGTGCCAAAGATGCAGCTTGGGACCTGCAGCCTCATCTGAGGCCCAGTCAGAAGGCAGAGCCCAGGACCTCCTTCCTGTCCACGTGCCCTGGTGTGCCCACTGCCCTGTGGTTGCAGTCTGTGGTTGAGTGGCTCTGCATCTGTTGGTGACATGGGGCCAGGGATATGAGCGTGGTCCTGAACCACTGCTTCCCTAAGGGACCTCTGAAGCAGGGAACCCAGTGGGACCAGCGACTCCAGAGAGTGGCAACAGCTCAGGAGGTAAGAGCACTGGACCAGGGCTCCAGGGTGGCCAGGGAAGGTGGCAAAGGTCTCCTTGGACCCAGAGAAGGCACAGTGCATGTGAGAGACAACTGGCCATTGCCCTGAAGAACCCCAAAAAGGAGGCTTCTGCTTGCCAGGGTAGGGATCACCTACCCCGCTGGCCCCTGCTACTGGCTCTGCCACAGGTAAGGGGAGGTCTTCTGGTAGTGAACTCCAACAGGCAGGGGTTTCCTTCTCTCCCTGCCAGGGCTGCTCAACCCGTTCTGCACAAAGGGGGCAGCAGTGATGGATCAGGCAACAGTTCAGGGCCATCAGCCTTGACTTGTGCTGCCCTTGAACTAGCAGGAACTCCCAAACCTCTTATGCCCTCTTTGCTGTGGCTGGAGGTGAGGGGTGGGGAGGCAGGATCACGATGACAGACAGAAAGTGGGGAGAGGGAGGTGGGGGAGGGGGGCAGGATCATGATGACGGAATAGGGAGAGGGAGGGGACACACACACACACCACCCAGGTTGGAGCTGATTAAGAGCTGCCTCCTGGCATCATCTGTGGTGGTTAGAGGGGAGGACAAGGCCCAGAGAGGCGGGGTGAACGCCCTAGAGCCACACAGCAGGCAGTTGGCAGGTGCTGGGTGGGGCCTGGTTCTCCTGGATCCCCAGGGGTGCAGAAGGGAGAGGCCAATGCCTCTGCAAACACTAATCCAGGCAACCTCAGGAACCTCAAGCAGAGGCGCCCTGGGCAGGGCAGGGAAGCCCCAATTCATTACCAAGATGGAAAATGACACTTCCATGCTCTGCCCCAGGAGAGGGGCTGATTTATGACTGCACTAGGGCCTGGGACATCCGTCAGCACCGTGCACTGCGAACGCCGTCTGCGGGGGCATTAATAGCCGTGTTATTAGCCACCGGCGTGAAGGATGCCCTGCGGATGGGCTATTTGCTGTTATTTATTATAAAGGCATGCCAGCCCGGCAGTAGCGGGGCCCTGCCTGCCTGCAGTCCTCCCCTTTGCATCCCTGCCCTCCTGCTAGCCCCTAGGAGAAGCTAGGGGATCATTCCTGGGGCTAGGCCAAGCCGGAGAGGAGCAGCAGCTGCCTCCCTCGCACCCAGGCCTACTGCTCACAGCCCTGATGGAAAATCTGTTCAGTCAGCTCTGTAGAGCCTGCTGTACCCAGAGGCAGAGAAAAAGAACATACCAGGCTTTAGGGACAGAGGTGCCTGGGCTGGGCCTTGGGCCTCTGGCTATACAAGGTATGAGCTAGTACAAGTCCCCTCCCTCTCCTCTGTGTACATGAGCTGTGGCTAATGCTAACAGGCCCACTGGGCTCTTTTAAAAAATGTATTTCATTATTTTATATTTTAATATATATTGTATATTTTTATTATCCTTTAAGACATTTTTATTTATTATTTTATGTGTATGTGTATATTGCCTGCATATATGTAAGTGCCCATGTCAGGCAATGTCCACAGAGGTCAGAGGAGGGCACTGGATTACCCTGGAACTAAAGTTACAGATAGGACAGTTGTTAGCCACCACATGGATGCTGGGAATCGACCTCGGGTCCTCTGCAAGAACAGCCACTGCTCTTAATGGCTGAGCCATCTCTCTAGCCCCTCCCCTCTCATTGGGCTCTTAAGAAGGACCCACAGATCTGTGGTCAGCAAGAGATTCTGGTGAGTTGGAATATATGCCATCATTCACCTCCTACTTTTCCACGGGAAAAGCATTTGAGAGTTCCATCACAAGGCTGAAGGAGGCCGCTGAGCCAGGCCTATCCCTCCACACCTTAAAAGGCAGATGGTCTTTGAGTCTTCTTCCTTCCTCTAAGTTCCAAGGTTCTCTGGGTTCCACACCCTTGCATGCATCTGTGGTGTGGGTATTTATGCCCATAGCTGGAGAGTGCCAAGCTGACACCAAGTTGAGGTGAACAGGTACAGCCAGGCCTTCTTGGGTCTGCTTCCTGAGAGCACTTGAGTTTGGTGAGCACTGGACAGCAAGTCTGATGCCTGAGTGGGCACCTGGCTTTACATCATTCAGACAGGACTTTTACCTCTCAGGACTGCTGTGGTAGGGATGCCCTGGTCATGACAGCTTCTGGGGTAGAGCTAATGGGAGCTCCTACCTTCCTCTTTTCTCTAGCTGCCTGGTTCTGGGTTTTAGATTTCTGGAGCCCAGCTCACTTATTCAAAATATGTTGTCTAGAAAGCTGGTTCTGTCAGTAAAGTGCCTGGCACACAGCATGAGGATCTGACTTCAAATCCCTAGCACCCACACAAAGCCAGACATGGTGGCACACATCTGTAACCCTGAGTGTGGGGGCAGAGACAGGAGGAAACTTGGAGATTCCTGGCCAGCCAGTGTAACCATCAGTGAGCTCCAGTGTAACCATCAGTGAGCTCTAGGGTCATTGAGAGATCTGTCTCAAAAGATAAGGTGAACAGCAATCGAGGAAGACACCCAGTGTCAACCTTTGGCCTTCACACACACTCGTGTGCACATGCACATGCATGCACGCATTACACACAAAGATGCTCACAGAGACCCCTTTCTGGGCCAGGCTCAATGCCAGGCACAGGACAGACCATAGCTTAGAAGCAGGAGTTTATGTCCTAGTGGGAGGAATGGATACCCAAAAAAGTGGGGATAACAGGAGTCCCCATTTAGAGCAGAGCTGCCTCCCTGCTCTTGAGAGCCCCTGCTGTCGAGTTCCTCTAGGATTTGTAAGCATCCACCATGACCACCCTTCTACACACCTGCCCCTCTCTTCTGCAGTGGCCCAGGATCCTGCTGATGGCCCTGGAACCCCTGGGCCCAGTCCTAGTCTTGAGGACTGTCACCAGTCCCTGTTGACACTGTCCCTTTCTCTTCCTTCTCCACCCACCCCAGCATTGCACCAGGCTTTATTTTCTTTTCTTCTCCCCCCTCCCGCCCCTTCCCCAAAGGAATTAAGTCTCAACAGAGGCAGCTTTACTACAAAAGGGTCCAGACAGCAGGATCAGGTTGGAGGACCATTTCATTAAGAGATGCCGAGAAAACGAAACAAAATTACACGTGTCTCCTTTCATCTCCCTCCCTCTTACTGGCCCTGCATAGTTTAATATCGAACACTGCTATCAATATAATTAACCTCCTAAGACACAATTTGAAAGTCTTGTTTTTTAAAGCGATTCACTTTCTCTGAAGCTGAGGACCAAAGTCTTGCTGTCCAACCCGGCCCCTCCCAGCTGCCCACCCACTTAGGTGAACTCAAAGTTCATTTCTGGTGAATTTGCATACCTGTCTGCAATTACCGCCGGTGATAACGTCTGATACATAATGCATGCAGCATGAAATTAGAAAAATAATTAACTTTAGATTTTAGAAGAATCCCTGCCCCCACTCCCCAGGCATTACAAATGCTGGGTGCCACCGCTGGACGAGGTCTGGGAGCTAAGTTGTTTGGGATGATGGGTGAATCTGGCTGGCACCCCAGGACAGCCAGGGCTAGAAGATGCAAAAGGGTCAGTGTGTATAGGAGGTGCCACTGGTGGGCCTACAGGTCCTGTGGCATCCTCCTGAACCTGCCTCAGGTTCCTGGACCTCATCTACAACTCACATCTGGACCAGTGATAATGAAGTAACTGGTCCCTCATTTTCAACAGCAAGTCTGCAAAGCTGAAAGGAACCAAGTTCATCCTCACAAAAGCCCAGAGAAGTAGAGTGTGAATGGTTCCATTTCACAGATGAAGCCCAGAGACCAGAGGCTACCCCTCTATGTAGGCTGAGACCCAAGTCTTCTTAGGAGAAGGGCTTCCTGGGAGGGAGGGGGAGGACTCCCTGGGTTTCCCTGGGGCCTCCTCCCTTGGTCTTGCTTGTAGCTGAGGCCCTAGAAGTCACTGCCAGATAGTATGGGAGGAATTGAGGGGCCCTTCTTTAGTTTACAACAGAGATGGAGACAGCCCCACCTGGGTAGGGGCAGGTTAAGTGCTGACCATTGCATCCTGTACACTGGGGGCCCGCCAGCCTTCCCCTGTGGGGCTGAATGTGACTTCCAGACCCATAAGCTTAGGTCTGGCTCAACCAGTCTGAAGGACCTGGAGGCCTCAAAAGGTTTAGGAAAATCACAGTAAATTCCAGGAGGGGGAAAGACACCCACCAGGAGCCCTAGCTGGGGGCTGGGAGAGAAACCGGAGCAAGGCCTGTGGCTTGTTTCCTTGCTGGCTGCAGGAAGAGCCTGGGTCTGTAAATAGAAAACAACATCGCCAGGCTCCATGGCATCCCCAAGGCCTGAGCCAGTGTCCCCAGGAAAAACAGGCAGCAGCTACAGGGCCTTTGGGACTAGGAGTGTAATTTCAGGCGCTGATGCAGAGGGCTGGCCAGCAAGGGTAGGAAGCTTCAATTTGGTGCTGTAGGGTTGTAATTTAAGGAGGAGGTAAAGCATCACCTCCAGTCATTAATTTACCTACTTGCTAGGAGACTGGCCTGACTGCTGGGGTGACAAGAGTCTCACCTGAACCCCAAGTATATTCCAAGACATGGGGAGTAGGGATCACCCTCTATCCTTCCACCCCAGTGACTGTGGAAAGGAGTTTGGGGAGCTCGTGGGACTTCTGGTCCAGGTACTGTACTCTACTCACTGGACCAGCTGCCTTTAAGCACACACATTTTCCCACCCCAGGGCCTTTGCACAGGCACTACCCCCCTCCCACTTCTAAGCATGGAAGTATCTTCAAAGCAGTGGGCAAGTGAGAGAACTCAGACTCAGGAGGGACTCCGGGAGAGAGGAGCCCTGGAGAAAGGCCAGACCTGGCTGGGGACAGGACTAGAGGCACTGAGCCAGGCTTTCCACAGGAGGGGAAACTACACACCTAGGTGCCATCCCTGGGCCTGGACCCAATCGAGGGGCTTCTAGGGCCCTCAACTTGCCTTCTCCCCAGGTCAGTTTGTGGGAGCAACATCAGGAAAGGACTGGCTTCAGCCAACATAGGACCCTGCCCAGGCCAAGATGAGAAGCAC